TCGTTTTTCCAGAAAGATGGATAACATGTTTACCTCAGGCCTTCATGCATGTCATAATGCTCTTTGTGAGGCGTTGGCTCCACACACTCGACAACTGATCCCTGGATTGGGCCAGACTGCAGAGTGGTGCCTCTCCATTTCACTTCTGGATGCTTTCTCCAGAACTTGTACTGAAGGGCCTTGGAATTGTGCTATTGCTCTGCATGTAAGACCTCCAATATCATCTTTAAGTGGCTTGATTCCATGATTCACTGTAAGACCTCACAGACTTACAAGAATGGGGGAGGGCAGAGAATTCCCAATCAACTTTCCCTGCTCAGGGACATTCTAAATCAAATTGTCCACCAGTCAGTCACATCTCATGCCCCACACTGGCCTCTCAAAAGCAGAGGAACCCTGCCAGCGTGTCTGGTGAACACTCTACCCTCACTCATGGCTTTGCCTTTCCCATTCTAATACTCTTCACCCCTCTCTTCCCATTTGCCTAGCACCCAGTATTTAGTTAACAGTCCACATACATGACTGGCAGCTTTAAACCCTCCCCAGAACAAAGCAGAACATGAACTTAAAAGAGGGTAGGGCAGGCACTGGTGGTCCTCTGGGCACACTGAGGGACATTTCAGGGAACCGAGGTCCTGCCTGACAGTGTATGATGAAAGTGCTGAAGCCAGATGACAGCCCAGCTCCTACTAGAACTTTTTCTCTTCCCCTCCCTGTGTTTGCAAAAGAGCTCATTCCTGTATATAAAGGACTCACGCAAACTAAGTCATCATATATTTAACCAGTGTATTTTTTTTCCTGTCCACAAAAGGAGACTTTTATTTATGGAATAATAAGATTTGAGCCAGGGCCTTAAGGACTTGCTCAGAAATTCAAAGTACTGCACTAACTGGTTTATGAATTATAGCACCCAGATTGATATACAACCATGGATATATAGCTCAATTATGAGTAAGATGATTCTAACTTGACTAAAACACAAGCGTAACGCCTTTGTGTCAATTCATATTACAAAAAGATCCTTAGTGGAACCAAGATTATTATTTCCTAAGATCAGTATATGTTTGATTCATACAAACCTAAATTCCTAGGCTGTCTCGTTTAAATTCTAAGTATACTTTAACTTTCAAACAGTGGATGTAGAGACAGTCTCTTTAATAACTGGTGTTGAGAAAACAGGACAGCTACATGTAAGAGAATAAAACTGGATTATTGCCTAACTCCATACACAATAGTAAATTCGAAATGGATCAAAGACCTGAATGTAAGACATGAAACCAAAAAACTCTTAGAAGATAACATAGGCAAAAATCTCTTGAACATAAATATCAGCAAATTTTTCCTGCCTCTACTGGCTACCTTTACAGGTAATATTTTGTGGCACATCTCTTCAGGAAAGGGAAAAAAATAAAAAATGAACAAGTGGGACTACATCAAACTAAAAAGGTTCTGAACAGCAAAGGAAACCATCAACAGAACAAAAGGGTATCCTACAGTGTCGGAGAATATACTTCTAAATGGTTTATTCAGTAAGGGGTTAACATCCAAAATATATAGAGCTCATATGCCTCAACACCAAAAAAACTCAAATAACCCAATTAAAAAATGGGCAGAGGGCCTGAACAGACACTTCTCCAAAGAAATACAGATGGCCAACAGGCACATGAAAAGATGTTCCACATTGCTAATCATCAGGGAAATGCAAATCAAAACCACAATGAGGTATCACCTTATACAAGTTAGAATGGACACTATCCAAAAGATAATAACAAGTGTTGGCAAGGAAATGGAGAAAAGGGAATCCTCTTACACTGTCGGTGGGAATGTAAATTGGTGCAACTGCTGTGGAAAGCAGTGTGGAGATTACTCAAAACTAAAAATAGAAATACAATGTGAATCCCTATCAAATTACCAACAGCATTCTTCAACGAACTGGAATAGCTCAAAAATTCATATGGAAACA